GCTTTCAGGACTATTTTTTTTCAGTCTGATGAGTCGCTGCCACACATTGGTGCGGATCAGGACACGACTGCTCAGATCGTCCAAATCGTCCAAATCGCGCTGCTCTAATCGCGCTTGAGGCGCCGCAGAACTTCCCGACGTTGCTTGAAGCGCCTCCACCATAGACTTTGCATGTAAACCTGCTGCTCCTGACGCTGAAATCGCGTTTGGTGTGAACGCACCATAAGAATAAAACGTTTTTGTTCTTTAAATAAAAATAAAACAGCTGGAGGAACTAAAACTGAGCTCAGATCCTGTTTAAAAGGCACAAACTGTTGTTTTTAGGTTTTATGTTTCTTTATGCCATATTTTGAAGCATTTCTATTTTACAAAATATAGCTTATTAATGTCAGATTGTATGTTTTATACATTAATTTTTTTATACCTTACAAAACCATTTAATGTTCTGCTGAAACAGCAATCTGACATGTGTGAAAGTAATTAATGATTATTTTTCAGTCACTTTAGAATCACACACTTTTTAGTTTAATAAACATGGTTAAAATGAAAACGTAGAATTCAGAAAAAAAAACAAACAGAAAAAGTAGAATTTGGGAAAAATAAAACCGATTTCATAGGGCTCTAACAACAGGTTGTTGCCATTTTGGAAAATAAGGCAACAAGTTATGATTGAAATATGAGGATTCTGTCAAATTTCAGCTCAATATCTGCACAGCTGGACGAGTTTTCATCTTTTTTGTGTTTTCTCTGGTTAGTTAGCCATAGATAAACGTCTCTAACTGGGTTTATTCCTGATGGAAAAATGTATATAAGTTATCATCTTATTATTACATTTATCATGATATTACTTTTATTTTGATCTTACTTCTTTTAAGTATTTTCTCATATGTTTGTTCTGACAGAGAAAACAGTTCTTGCTTTTCAGAATGTTTTCAAGTGGTGTTAACAAAAATGTTACATTGAATGAACGTCCTTGATAAACTGATAAATCATGATTTGCCACAGAAAGATGTGAAACGTAACCACCCACTTTTGTTTTGTGTCAATAAAAGCTGCAAGGAGGTTTTGAAACCTTTGGAGAAGTGGAGCTACTGTTACAGAAAGCTGTCTCCCCTTGTGCAGGTAAAATCTAACCTTGGTGCTTTATTTATTTTGTGTCTCTTCTCAGTTTCTCTGGGTTTTAAAAGGGATCCCTGATTAGTTGTAACATTAGATTTTATTTGATAAACACATATTTTAACTATAAAGACTGTAAAAATACTGTAGGCTGTTTAGTTTTTTAAATTTTAAAAGTATATTTTAACACAGACTGAGCCATTTTATTTACACACAAAGCATTCTGGGTAAATGATGACGTGGATAGGTCCTCGGTGCGAGGCTGCTAGCGAGCTATATCCACCCTGAAGGTTAATCTTGGACAATATCTGATGATCGACTCTTTTAAATGAAACCAGAGAGCGTTGACAGAGAGGAGAAGGTAGAAATGACTCAGCCTGCAGAGTCAGGCAGAACCAGCAGAGGGCAATCAGAAACAAAATGAAGAAGATATGACCATTTGAATATTGGTAATCTGCAAACAAGATTAGGGAGAAAACAGGACTCAAAGTTTTGGAGGAATTGACTCCAGCAGAGGGCGCTTCTTGTGGGTAACAATGGCTGTCCATTTGCATTAACTCCACACCTGAGCAGTGAGCACTTACTGTCAACACAGGTAGGCTCTAGACTCTCTTTTGCAAAATACACATTTTTGGGGCACTTTCCTTCATTTGACCTTATATATAT